AGGATGTCCTGGGGCCACATGCTCGGGGTCAGGGCTGAGAAAGGGCCGCCAGCAGGTGTGTGGCTTCCTGGAATCCAAGAGAAGCAGACACAGGAGACCGGTAAGAAAATGTCAAGCCTCCAGAAGCAAACGTCAAGTAATACCACACCCTCTCAGCCGAGTCCCGGCATCACAGGACTGGGCTGTGGAAGTGGGATGGGCGGAGGGAGGGAGGGGAGCAACCTCCCAGACACGAACAACTTTGTGGGGCAAAGAGAGGAAAAAGCACGTGGCAGAAGACATAAGCAGACTTCATCTTCCTGCTTTCCTCCACCTGAGAGAGAGGATTTGCTGGAGGGAGGGAAGAGGGCAGGGATTCAGGAATACGGGAGTGCTGAGCGACGGTTTAGTAACTTGCCCAGGTAGCCAAGGTCTCCTTTCTCTACCTCTTTTAGCTTGATGGTCTATTTGACCAGCAAAAGTACCAATCTAACAGGTTCCGTCCACTTGGGGTCCTCTTGGGTGAGAGCCCCCTCTGTCCCCCACCCTCTTGCCCCACGGTGTCTGAGGCTGCCACCCCACTTGCTTCTACCTGACATTGTGCAGAGAAGCCAGGCTTGTCTCTGCAGACCTGGGCCTGGAAGTTTTACTCTCCTACTATCTGAGCGCCGGAGGGCTCCTCAGGCTTCATCTGGCCCAGAAACATCCGCCTGTTGGGAGAGCAAAGCGGGATGTTATTAGAAGGCGGCCCCTCTCCCAGGAGTCCCGCAGGCACCTGGCTTCTGTTGGCCCAGAGGTGGTGGCAAGGAGAATCCTGGTGCAGTTCAGCAAGGGCAGGGAGACGTCACACTTAATTAAGTGTTCGGTCCTTAAGCACTGTGGAGCGTTCCACACAGCTCCCGTTCTATTCGGGACAGAATCAGACAGATTTCCTGATGCCCAGTGTGCAAGCAAACATTTCTTTAAAAAGAAAAACACCAGGCCCCATTAAACGCCGTGAGGAGGTTTCCCTAAGCGAGAGTGTCAAGGAATCATCTAGAACACCACTTCCGTCTGGTAAGTCCCTCCACCCACCCCTGTTCTCTGCTGCCCTTTAGAAGCACCCAGTCGGCAGTCTGCTCTACCACACGTCCACTGGTTGGCTGGGAAACCACATCAGAAATGGAAATGGCTTCCCGATCCGAAGCTCTCTTGCTGTTTAAACCACTGCC